TTATTGGTAATCATTGAATGCAATGAATCAGTGTAGATGATGATGTGACTTCCACGTAAGATCTTATAGATTAGGCAGTTACATCATGATAAATCTGCAATTTTAGGATTAGGTCTATTATTAGAGCAGTGCTAATATCATAGTAAACCGTGATTCTACAAGCTTCAAGCAGTTGTCTCTTGGGAGCTGCGGTCACACTCTCAGGTCACTAAGACCACGTCTAACCCAATTTCCTTTTCAGGTACAACCAGAGGAGTCTTTCTAGAATGTGGGCAACCGCGAGGTGACAGCCGCCCTCATGCCTCTAACAACACTCAGGACCACTGTATTCATGATCACATTTCCTCTTTAGTTACTATTATTACTTTTACTTCGGCTATCAACTCGAAACTTCCTCATGTGTAACCATGGCCAACGATTCTAGTGCGCAAATCACCGTTCCATGTCTCATGAAACCTCGCTCCAAACTACACATTGGAGTCAAATTGGCCAGCAAGTCTCCTTGGCTGAGACACGAGTCTCGTACCATTGGTGTATGTTGTATCTGCATGCAGGATCCTAGTGTGGTCATCCACTTCGCCTCACCTTACCAAAACCAGGAGCCGACGGGACATATCTGGCGACTCGACGACACGTTCTCGTAAACTGGAGAATGCGGACAGCACTAAGTATGAGGGCAGAACAAGCACTATTGGAATAGATCCTCGTTAACAGTCACCTATGTGTTGTTCGGCTAAACGGCTCCGTATGAACTCGGAAGGATAGGGACAAACATCGTCGCCTTTTCGTCATTTCTGCCTACGCTTCAACTGACTGCAGCCTGGATGAAGTGAATGATGACTTTTACAGAAAGTATTCCGAACTTCAGAAAGCTAAACGTTCAGACATAGTACTTGTAGCAAGTGACGTTAATGCACCTATAGGTAGCTTATACCAAAGAGAAAGACATTTAGGTGGGTATTTTAATATTCTGGCTCAGTGAAAAGATAATGATGACCGTCTCCTGCAACTATGCTCAGACAATCGTTTGTTTTTAGCAAGCACTAATTTTAAGCATAAGGAAAGACACCATCTGACATGGCGACGACCTGCATTAAAGCAACTATGGACTCAATTAGACCATATTGCCATCAGTCATCGTTAGAGAGGCTCAAAAGAAGACTATCGCTCGTTCTGGAATACATGTTTAGACTGTGGTCACTCTCTAATACGAACATGCATTTGCTTGCACCTCACTGGACGCATAAAAGTTATATCAATGAAACCTATTAGAATTGAACTCATTGACGAGGCTGACACAGACGTTGCTTGGAAAGATATACGAACAGATGTGTAAACGGCAGCGACGTCTATTAGTGATTTGAGCCAAGGATATGCGAAAGTCAGTGGAATTCCGAAACATCTATTGTACTGATGGATTTTCGTAAGCTCATCCCATCAGGCTCTGAACACAAAGAAGTGCGAAAACAAATCTAATCTAGGTGAACCAAAGGTCTAAGGAACGACCGTGAACATTGTTGGGCAACGAAGATGATAAAGACATCTGTTGTAGGTAGAACAAGATAGCTTTTCAGACTAATAAAAGAAACTGGAATTAATAAGTCAAGTATAAGTGAGACTATCTCGGAAAAAGATGACACTCTTATCTGCTCTCATTCCAGACGTTTAGAACGATAGGAAGAAAATTTTAAGAAGTCCAGCTGGCCTTCAGCTGTTCTACAACTACCCACCATTCACAGACAGTGTGAATGAAACGTTGAAGTAGGTCCTCCAACTCTAGCCGAAGTTCAGAAAGCTATAGCTAATCTAACACGAGGAAAAGCAGCCGGTCCAGATGGATTGGCTCCAGAGGTCTTTAAGTATGGTGGTCCAACTTCAGCGATTAGGTCGACTAATATTTTAGCTAAAATCTGGGAGTTGGACGTTATCCCATCTAACTGGTCACAATCACTTATCGTCCCAATATACAAGAAAGGGTCAAAATCATCCTGTGACAACCATAGAGGGATTAGTTTGACTAATATAGTATCTAAAATACTAGCCTCGATAATTATCGGACACCTAACTAAGACTCGTGAACTGCAAACACGACTAATTCAGGCTGGTTTCAAATCTGGTGGTGGATGCATCGACCACATATTCACCATTCGTCGGGTCCTAGAACACAAGCATACTTATCGGCGTCCGACAATGATGGTCTTCCTTGACTTAAAAGCAGCATTTGACTCTGTAGACCGAGAGGTTCTGTGGCAGTGTCTGTCATTGAAAGGTGTACCTCAGAAGTACATAAACCTTGTGAAGGCTCTTTACTCGAACACTACTAGTCGAGTGAGAGCTTGTGGCGAACTGTCATCCGCTTTTGCAACCTTAAGTGGTGTCCGGCGAGGCTGTCCACTTTCTCCATTTTTGCTTAACGTCATCATAAACCTACTGATAGAAATAACGCTCTTATCGACTGAATATGTTAGAACGTTTGGGATGCGTTTCTCTCCCTCCAAACGCAAGTTGTTGCTTCAGGACTGGTCTGCGTCAACACCTGAACTAAGGATAGGGAGTGAAGTAGTCGAACGCGTTGACAACTTCACTTATCTTGGAAGTCTGATCAGCCCTAATGGGTTGGTGTCTGACGAAATGTCTGTACGGATTCGAAAAGCTCGTTTGGCTTTTCCCAACTTACATCACCTATGGCGAAGGCGAGATATTCGTCTATCAATTAAGGGGCGAGTATACTGCGCGGTAGTTCGTTCCGTTCTACTATACGGCTGCGAAACATGACCTTTAAGAGTAGAAGATACTCGTAAGTTACTAGTATTTGACCACAGATGCCTTAGAAATATTGCTGGTATATGCAGGGATCACCGGGTAAGTAATAGTGAGGTTAGACACAGGGTATTAGGGAATGATGGTAAATCAGTTGATGAGGTTATGAATCTTGATCGACTGAGATGGTTGTGCCACGTGCTGCGTATGCCTGAGCACCGATTGCCACGACACGCAATGCTGACTAGTGTTGGGGATGGCTGGAAGAAAGTTAGGGGCGGCCAAACCAAAACGTGGCATCAGTGCTTGAAGTCAATAACTTCTAGTCTGAGCCATGTTGGTAGATGCAGACTACATGGTTGGGGTTTGTGTGACTATCGTAACCAATGGTTGGAGATTCTTGGTGACATGGCTTAGAATCAAGAGTCCCTTAGAATTAAAGGCAGGTATATGAAAAACAACCAGTTCCTTTGGAAGTGATTTATTTATATACTGAGCACAGTTGCAAGCGTACTAAACACCACTACGGTCGGTTAATCGTAGTGAAAATTTGAATAAAACCTATTAGTGCTGTTAGATTTGTTGTCTAGATTGGTATTGAGTGCATTTATCTTTGCATGTTAAAAAGTACTGCAAACATATTAGACAATCTAAAAACTAGTGAAATTTTGTTGATTTGTTTTCGGAATACGCTATTACTGAGAGAGTTCGACGTCTTTGTCGAGGTATCTACATTTATTTCGTTTGATGCTTTCATCCATTTTTTCATTGTTCTCTTGTCGGTAGAAATCTCTAGAAAAAGGACAGATCCCATAGGCGTAGCTTGAACACACTGCTCACCTCAGTCGAAGATTCTTAGCTCTTTTGAGATTTACTCCTGCCGTTGTGCTGTTTTCGACTTACAGTTCTCCTTAAACTGTTTAGGCGTAAGTCCTCTATGGACTTATTATGGGGTGAATATAACATTCGTACACAAAAACAAAATGATCTAAGCAGGGACAGATAAAATATCACCTAGGGCTACTACTATTTTGGTACTTTTTCTATAATTCTTCAAAAGAAATCTGTGTATGAATGTTTATTGTTTAAATATACACTAAAATTTTAGAACATATGTGATTAAACTTTGGGATTAAGTTGAGGCTGTATAATCCGTTGTACTCATGTAACTCTTTTGGTCACATGTGAAAAATCCTCGTTGTTACTTGTCAGTTCAATAATTGTTTATCAAGTAAGCGGTCTAATAGTACATTTGACAGTTTATCACCAGGACAATCTCGTTTTAGCACATTGATTCCTGTTATGCTTGTTTCTATGTTTTTGCACAACGGAATATTTGGATCTTTTTGAGACAATTTCGAATGGATATTCGGATAGAAGACTATGTGGTGCTTTTACTCTGTCACATCGCATCCAGACGTGTATGCAAGCGCCCAAATCTGTGGGCATATAGGTAGCTCGTGGCTTGTTATGTCATTGATCTGTTTACTCAATAATATACAGGAGATAATTTGTCTCGATCTAGATTATGGCCTTGACACAATAGGCTTACTGATTTAACCTCGAGGCTTTAAATTCTTGAATTTGGACTGAGACTAACTGTCTTAGGTGAAGAGAAGAAAACCATTCTACCACTAGACTGGTCGACAGTGAGAGAGAAGACGAGTTAGCTGGAACACTACTTGGTTCTCTTTCGATATCGATTAAGGTAAAAAGACACATAAATGAATAGATTATTAGCACGACCACAACGCACAAACAATTAGAACAATACAATTATGTCTAAACTAGGCATTCAGATATAAAAAAGGAGTACCAAAGGTTACGTTTAAAGGGTATGCCAGTGGGCCATGCATCAGATAAAAGCTTATGACTTATAGAACAAACTAGAGGTAAAACTAAATGTTAGTGTTTTACAAGTTTTGAATAAGGTGGAATAGTGTCCCCCAAAGTAGCTTTGGTTGCTTACCATGGCTTCTTTGTTCTGGACAAAAGGGTTGTAACTGTTATTTATCTAAGTGCACAAGTGAAGAAAACTGGCTCGTGCTGTGGTCCTTGTGTAGATCACCAGCACAGATGATCTGTGTCTAATAATTGTGGGCTTACTCGAGTTGGAAGGAAACGGTGTGACGAACTAGTATCGTCGACACCAGCGAATTTGCTTTAACGTTTTAAGGCACAAAGTGAATCACTGACATTTCACACAGAAGCTCGTGAGGCGAGAAATACTTTTGTCCGTCCATTAGAATTTGTTCATTCGAAGGGAGGGATTTACGAAAGTAGTCGTTACCGTGAAGGTTTCGTGATGATGGCTGATAAGAAGGAAATATACAGATCCATTGCCCGTTTCTTCGACAACGAAATAAATTCCCATGTCTACTCTTCGGAGATAAATGAGGGTCTTGAAGGTAAACATACATACACTAAATTTGCGGCGGCGAACTCATTATTTTCGGTATATCTTCGTCAACGAAAATATAGTATCATTGTGAAAGAACGGTGATATGTATTTCTGGGCGGATTGGTCCTTAACTTAGCAACATTGTTGGATGAGGATCAACTATTGTTTTAATGTACGGTTAGGAGGCTACAAACCAGTCATGAAGAGGGATAGATAATACTCTCAACTGTCTTATGTTCAAGAGTTCTCGAAATATACCATGTAAACTGTAGCCATATTAAAAGGGCCGTAATTGTTTGAATTAAGAGAAAAGCACCAGCGTTATGGAACCTTGCTATAGTCGGGAAATTGTGAGGTTTCAGGTTGGTGAGTAAGATTGAGTAAGCTATTCGTTAATGTCCAAAGTTTATGCGTCGTTCTATGCGAATCGGAGCCAAGTTGTTACTGGTTAGGAATTCATAAGAAAGCTGTTGTGATTGTTATAGTACACGCTATTCTAATTTCTAAGGTTGTTGGTCTCGCATTTAGGGTTTGGTACCGGAACAACAATGTTAAGCTTCATTAGTCCTGGCTTCAGACACACTGTAAGGCCCAGCTGGAAATCGGTTTGGGAAGAAGGGCGGCAAAGTCAAGATTGTGATATTAGTGTAACCCATTTAATAAGTCTAAATGTATTGCCTCGGCTCATATTTTATGTTGCTTTCTTAAACTACTGCTACCACTTCTCATCTATGTATAGTATGGTATCAGTTATTAAAGTTACTGTTATTTGGTCCGTGTAAATCACGGAAACACTGTTTATTAAAGTGGTTACAGTTGTTGATAACATGGAAACAGACCATGTAGTTACAGATATAAACTTGAAATATAGAAAATTACTGTTTAATTTCTTTTTGTGTGGCATTTGGAGTAAGTTGGGTTACTTAGAGCAGTTTCGATCCTTCTGATATATGCAAAAACTACTCATTGGCTTGGATAGAATATTGAAGGAGATACAAGCCCTCCTCACGAGGCTTCAAAAGGACCTTCCTTTACGCAAATTGCTTCAGTATTACAACTTGCCGATGTATTCAGGTCATTTATATTTACTTATCTGAAAGAACTTATCTTAGAGTAACTATTCAGATGATTTTTATTTTAGTTGCGAAGCAGTGTATAGAAACAGCTTTTCATATATCTGATACTGAAGTCGGTGATGTTCCCGATTTACAAACATTATTTAAATCCCAGTCTCAAGTAATTACTCACCTTTTAAGTCATTATTACAGAAAAAACCTAATATTCCAAGAAGTGAACCTTCAGAAGAAACCAAATCAATGGCAGAAGCACTAAAAAATCAAGGTATGACCATTCTTTTTTGTTAAGCTGCACCTGCAGGCAACCAATGCATGAAACAGGAGAAGTTTGGGGAAGCTGTAGCCTGCTACAGTAAAGCTATTGAGCTGTCCCCGTACAATGCCGTATTTTATTGCAACAGGTATTTTCTGAGTTTTATGGCATTTTTAAAAAAAATCTGACTCAGTACGCTACCATAGAAATGTCATTGTATCTGAAATAACTTTCATACTACTGAAATTGGTCAGATGAATTATAGCCTTATTTCACAAGGAAGACAATTCATGCTCGTTATACTTCGGCTCATTTATAAACAAAATTTATAGAAAAAAACCATTAAGCTAATTGTCCACAACCAACTTGAAGTGTATATAGTAGCTCATAATAGCTCAGTGTTGTAATTGTTGGTTTAGAATTCCATAATCAAATAGCTTATAAAAAAATCTGTTCCAACTAATTGCTATTTGTAACGTAATACAGGGTTATAGATAGTTGAATGAATATTATTTTTAGTACTATACATGTTATGGAAGGTGCTTACTTCTAGAACATAGGTATCATGTTCTTAGGAGATTATATATAGTCGATCAATTCAGTAAATTACTACCACTAATTTTCATGTAACCTCATCTCTCCATTACCTTAAAAACTTTTGGTCACTTTATTTTTTTTTTTTGTCTGAAGAGCTGCCGCCCACTCTCGATTAGACCATCACCAAGATGCAATTAATGACTGCCTAAAGGCTTTAGAAATTGACCCATATTACAGCAAAGCATATGGTAGAATGGGGTGAGTGTTGTAAATTTGGACCTTCATTATTTACATACAATCCTATTATTTGTAACCTTTTAAGGTTCCCTTAGAATTATTATTTTTATCAATGAATACATCATAAAAGCACTTTGATAGCTGTTGTAAGGTTTATTTGTTTGATTTTTGATGACTACTGGCAACCACTTTTAGTCGCTAATGTATCAAATATTATTCAAGGTTTGTTAATATTATCTCCTTGAGTACGGTTCAGAACAGTATATCATTTACTAATTAAGAATACAGGTCCATGGCATCAAACGTATTGTCTGTATTTAGCACTTTGCAACCAGCATCAACTTTTTTCACTGAATCATTTCACCAAATATGACATATTTCGGAAATGTCAGTGACCAACTAGCGTTACATATTTCCCATATACCTTATCAGAGTTTACTCTCTCCAGTGATAGCTCCTATCTTGAAGTGGTCAGGCTTGCCTACCGTGATGGCTCAACTGAGCTATACTGGATGGGACATGCGTTCCTTCAGGTCCTACCATACCAAGCTGGTCGGTTGGAAAACGATAAGACTAAACACAGCACCTTGAAGTACTAGGGCGAAGTTATACTGCTGACTGTATGGAGGTATGACGGTATTAAGGTGGTCCTCTCGGACAGTCAGCATCTGCAGGGATGTTACCTTCTCACAACGGAAGGAAGCAGTTAGAAAATGTCACATCTCACCTAACCCTACGGATTTCTTTCTCTGGTATTAAAGCCTTTTAAAGTGCAGAGCTAACACGTCAAAACTTCCCACATGCGACCTGTCCCAATTAGTTGTCCCTTACTCTCTGGTCACGCTCCCAAGTCACCAAGACTACCACTATTCCTATTCCCTTTGCAGGTCCTTCCACGATGTGGAGAGTTCGTAAATTACAGCTGTCCCATACCTCTATCAGCACCCGAGATCATTTCCTTCACGATCAAATCCCACCCTTACATCTTAATAATTCCTTTATCCCTATGACTAATCCTCGGTTAGAGACTTTGAATGACAACTCAAAATCATTCTCAGTGGCTTAGGTGCACTCACTCTTTGTCTTCCCTCAAATTCTGAGATTGTGAATTCCTCATAACTGTTTTGTGTGTGTTTATTTCACCATTTTATATTTTCTTTTCGGATTGTATCTTCGATGCCTAATCTTTCCTATTACCTCCGATACTGTTGCTACCTCTACTATTCTGGGATTTGCCTTGACAACTTCATCATGGGGTGTGACAACTTGAGCCGATGTACGTACGGATTCTACGTTGTGACTGATTGACGACTAATCCTTGTTTGTCTTTATCAACACGAGCCACCAATGGTAATGATCGGAGTGTCCCGAGACGACACTCTAAACTATGTGTTGAGGCTTTTAATGTTCGAATCTTGTCATTTAGGACAACAGGCTTCTTTAGGTAGGATCCTAGAATCCCACTATTTCGATGTCTGTTGCATCTACAAAACTCATGTACAGGACCTGAATGTGGTCATTCACTTGACCTCACCTTGTGAATATTAAGTCAGCGCGTAAGATCCCTCTGCCACTTCCAACGGCTTTACTGGTGTAGGCATAGCATTAAGTTCAAAAGCAAAACAGGTTCTTATGGAATGAATTTCAATAGACAGTTGCTTATACGCTATTCGATTAAACTCCCTTATCTCTCTCTCTACGCTCTCACTGATGGAACGTCGGACAAAGTAAATTTTGCTAGACACATTTAAACTGCTATCACGCTCCATTGAGAGAACTTATTTATGTGCTTCCTACTAGTTGTAAAAAAAACACAGCAAGAAAACCCCTTGGAGCTCAAATAAATGATGAAAAAGTCAAGAGCATATTCCAGAAAAGACTAGAAAAGCAGTTAATCAACCATGAAAGTGATATCCACCCCGAGGTAGCTTGGCATCCATATGGCTGGACGATATCTAGTAACTTAAACCGAATGTTTAAAAAACCAGAAAATTTCAGCAGCAGCTGCTGAACTGATAGCGTCTCGGAAACTCATCTCTGAACAAAATGTGAGGCAAAGATAGCTTAAACACAAGTTGATAAAAAGCCTATGCAATGATCGTGAGCAGTGGTATGCAGCAAAAGCAAAAGAGATGGAAAAGGAAGCGGCAATAGGTAAAAGCAGACAATTGTTGAGACTTATCAAGGGAATAGGTATTAGTCAGGCGATTTCTGAAAAAGATTCAATTATTATTCACTCAATCCACGATATTGGATGATAAGTAGAAAACTTTAGGGAACAGTTCAACTGGCCTTAAGCCACACTTCAATTCAGATTCACTCTTTGACAAACACTGAATTACTTTTTCTGTTATATGTTGTATGAGTCAGATACAATCTTCATAGTTCCATGATGATGTAATTACCAGCTATTTTAGCAAAATTTTTACTTGGTATATAGCAATAGAATTAAATACTGGACATGTTAATTTGTATACACTTGGTAATTTTGTTTGGTATTTCTTTATTGTAGTATCGCCTATTCTAGCATTGGTAATCATGCTAAAGCTGTTGAGTGTTATCGGAAAGGCTTAGAGCTTGACCCAAATAACGAGAATTGTCAGCAAAATCTATCAATTGCCGAAGAAAAGTTGAAGAATTCATCAGATAATACTCAGAGTTCAGGATTATTCAGTGGTTTTGACTTAAATTCCTTTTTAAATAATCCAATGATGCAGAATATGGCCCGACAATTCATGAATGACCCGAATGCTCAAAATATGTAAGTTTGATTAATGTTTCAAAGCAATATCCTGCGTTTCTACCTATATTTGGTAGAGATTTATGCTTATAATTGTGAGAGGAATCTCAGAAATAAGATCAGGATGTAATTAATCTAGGCTGGAAGTTGATGGTATCCACATGAGTTAAATTTAAATGTTTTTAAAGCCCGTCATCAATAAAAAAAATGTCTTTACAACAAAATGACAGATTTCTGCAGCGCGTTTAAACGCATTGCGTTTTTTCAAAGCAGTTTGTAACTGTTCATTTTAGTAGTGTAATACACCTAGTTTAGATAGTATATCTTATATAACATAGATCAAAATATTTTCTAGTGCCTAAAATTGAACAAAGTTATATTCTCTAGCGTTCTCACTTTGCCATCAATCTAGGATGACTAATCTACTACGCAATACATTTGGAGTATCTGACAATCCAACTACAGATAGTTCAGCCCGTAATACTGAGACCGATAATTCCAACGAATCAGCAGAATCTAATTCACAAAGTCATAATCCTAGTGGTACTGATCCTAGTACTAATGGCCAAAGTATGGATGAATTTTTACGCCTGTAAGAAATTTGTTTTTTGTTCTTTATTACCTATTCTATTCACTCCATTTTTATTAGAAATAGATTCATTCCAAGTATTCGGTCATCATTTGTGTATTGTTTTTCTTTTGTTTTTGCACACTAATGGTGTTGTGCTTCAAAATTGATAATTCGATTAGTTTTATACTTTTGGCTGAACTAAAGGAAAATTTTATGGGAAGGTGAATAAAGAAGCACATAAATTTTGATACGACTCACCGTTTTCTGCACCCTTTCTATCAACAAATATATAGAATATCTTATTTAGAATCGATAGGTTGTAACCAGCAATGGAATCCAGGACGCACATTACGCCCTATTTGGAGCTCATCAGCCGGGGGCACCTGCATTCCGTTGTTGATCTTCATACTAGGTTTTGAAGCAGGTACCTTTCAGTTTAAAAGTCAAATTCGTTATCCATTAAGCTACTGAGACCAGATAGCCACTAAATTGTTCAACAGTTCTAATGTTTATTTCGTCAATAGGAAGGGTTTGGTCTATCCCATCGTCGATATTAGGAACTAAATTTTGATCAGTCTGTAATTTTGAAAGTAGTAGTGAGCAGGCTTTTTCGGACACTAAAAACCAGTAAAATGCGAATAACTACTTGTTGGATGGATTGTTGCGGAAAGTTATATCTTATACTAGTTCATTATCATATGAGATATTTTGTTGCTTCGTTTATCTCATCTTTCTACAACTCGTACCTCAGTATGTTACTTTTATAGTCTTTCAACTTTACTTTGATTTACATTTTGTAGTTATTTTGTTATAATGTTAGTGATACATGAGGATGAACATAGACTAGTGTATTATCTGTATCAAATCGGAGCATAGTTTGTCAAATGTAAAATATGAAGTATGTGTTGATATTATCTGGAAATGAGGAAGCAAGTAGTTAGTTAGTTAATTAGTCATATATTCAGCGTTTCTATCATATACCTATCTTATTCTTAATAAAATAGTTTTCTATTATCATACCATATTTGTCTATTTTTAGTGGTCAACAACTTGCTCAACAATTGCAAGCATCCAATCCACAACTTGTTAATCACTTACGTCAAACATTTCATACCAATGTTAATGGACAAAGTTCAAATCCGGAAAACAATACTGATTCCAGTGATCATAACAATACAAATTCTAAATAATACTTGGCATTTTAAATGATAACCGGTGTCTTGTTTTGCTAACGTGTATTATGGCAAGATTCAGTTGTAATTTTTCTAAATTTGATTTTGGATATGATATTCCTTCTTTTTGTTTCTTTTTTAGTAAACAAAATAGGGGTGATTGTGCTAACTATTTATTGTTTTTCCCTATTTCTTTCTGATGAAAATCATATTGTGCACGCTATATTGTTTTAGACTTTGTTCTTGTCTTCTCTGTTTACTTTTGTTATTAGTTGTAATCGCAGTAATTTTACGTATGAACTAACGAATAAAAGTTGTTGCGAATCATCAAGAGTGGTATATTATATTTAATATGATATTTATAGAAAAGGTTTCTTCTTAATTGCGTGTACAATGTGTAATAATCAATAAAACTAATTCGCATATATTTTCTGTTGTCTGTTTATTAAGAATTATATAAGAAAACTAGGCGTTTATTTGGTTAAATTCTATGATTGTTATGGTTGCCCATGGATAAAGCAGGGAATTCTCAATGTTTTTTTTAACAGCTATTATTCTTAGGTCATTAATTGCATATTGGTACATCATTAGACCATAAACTGTCAATTGTTATGATGGGTGACGTCTGAGATCTGATACTGAACGTGCTGCTCACTAACCCCCCATAAATCGACTACTTGGACGTAAAGACAAGAGCGGAAGCGAAAGTCTGTTAGGCTACAGTAAACATTCATAAATACTTAAACATATACATTTCTACCCGTTGTCGTCAAGTGACCCCATTTGGTCACTTCTGATTGGCTCACTATAACAGTGTATTGAATCCTCTAAATATAGATGCTCATTGTTTTATTTGCACTCTCTTTGAGTGATGGTGTTGGATATTGTGGTGAGCAGTTTGACATGTACTGCTCCTTGGTTATAAACGTAAAATCTCTTTCATAGGTGCTAATATCAAAAATTGTGTACAACAATCATGTATGACGCAGCCAAACTGGCTATGTTAAGCTTACCATTTGAGATGTGTAGGAGACCAAAGCTTCAAGTAAAATGCATTATTCATCTCAGAATAATAAGAATTAGGGTAGAGAAAACGAAGGGACAACTGGTTGTTTTATTTTAGTGTGATTGAGAGGTCTGTGGTAATCAGTTTAGTTTAAAAACGTATTTTGCCACATACTAATAGCTGAGGTACCTTTGGAAACTAGGGAGCACGAGGTAGTTTTTTTCTGCAAGTATGAGACAACTGACCCGCACCCACTGGTCTTATAATTTTATATTGTATTTTAAGCTGTCTTATGTCAAGTACAAATGGACAAATATCTATAGTAATTAGAACAAAATCAATAGTTTGTAATGATTTTTATTTCAATCAGTGTAAATTTAAAATGTCAAACTATGGGAATTCATAAATGACAACAAATGTTTTACCCATTGAACAGTGGTGAGGCTTCTTTATGCTTATGGAAGAATTTGCAATGCATTCAAACATCTTGAGAAGAAATTATCTCATTAAATTAAGTTACTACTTTTCATGTAGCAAACAAAGCAACGGTGAGATTATAATTTATGGACGACCTTTGAGCAACGCTAAAATGACCTTGAAAATGTCCATCTACTTACCAGGGCTATAAATTAGTGCGAGGAACTATGATTAGGATTTACAGTTGAACGTTAGGGATAGAAATTATATTTAATGTTTTCATCACGAACTGACATCAACTATAATGCTGAAATGGTATTTGGGTGGAGTGGATGAATCTCGCACCAAAATCTAAGACCTGCTATCTTTAATCTGATTGGTTCGTCTACAAATTATAATCTCGCCAAAATAACTTTATAGATAATGGCATTCGACTTCTTTATTTGAAAAACAATATGTATCTGTAGGTCACCTATTACAAACAATTCTCATCATAATTAGCTCATAATTCATGGTCAGGTGGATTAATCAATAGGTCATCTTACTACATTCGTGAGATTTAAGCAAATAAAAAATCAATACAAAGTAACTCGTGTGCAAACAATAGTGTGTGGATGATAAAATGAATGTAGCTCATTAAAAATTAATGAAAAAAGCAACAATAAAGTAAACAAGCGGAATAATACTTCATCAAATTGATTCCAATGTTTTATTAAAAAGTTATGTTTATCTTTGACCGTTGTTCATTGGTAGTATGTGTCCTTTAAAAGTATACTTTGTGTGAGTAGTATTATAACACTTAACAAGTTAATAAGATGATTAAACCAGATATGAAAAGACAAAATATTGACTTTGACAATTTAATGTTAGATGCATTGCATAAGTCAGTAATACAACAATCTTCTTCCGTTGTTGTATTATACCAAGCAATGTATCTATTTACACAAGTTTCATTCATTTGACCACATGATTTTGCAATATTTATTGTCACCATATTCTTACTATAGGTAAATGTAGTCTTCATGTAAAAGAAAAATAAGAACGCAAATCATTGTACATTGAAATATCTGACATAATACTACTTAAAACAAATTAAAAATAAAAACATTCCATTATTCGGTCGCCTCTAAAATTGTACAAGTATTTGAAAGCAGTTTTTATCTGAAATGTGATCACATCATTAATTGTTAACTCTTTCTATATTCCAATTCTCCGTCAGTATGTTTCTTTGAATAACCTAATGTTGTAAACCTAAGCTTATAATCTCGTAATCTTAAATTTAGTGAATCCGGTGGTGAGACTATAATTTATGGACGACTTTTGAGCGACGTCAAAGTGGCCTTGAGAATGACGACCTCACGAGGGCTAAATGAGAGTTATAAACCTGTGTGAAGAATAAGGATTGCGATTTACAGTTGATGATTAGGGTTAAGAATTAGATTTAGAGTTTTCATCACGAACTAACATCAGCTAAAATCCCGAAACGCCCTTAACCAAACAGATGAATCAATTTCGCGTCGAAATTTAAGATCTGTTATGCCAAATCTGATTGACTCGTTCATAAATTATAGTCTCACCAATTCGGTTTTAGTGAATGACGTATTTTACATTATTGGAAAAAAATTTTGTGATTACTTATTAATACTCTGTATGTACCTTTTTATTTGTTACAAACTTATTACAGTAGGTCTTATTAATGAATAAGTAATAATCATGTGCAAATACGTCAACTTGCTAGCTGTTTCTAGACGGTTAAAACTAATAAGGATAATAATTTGTATCGAATTTCAATACCAATAAATGAATTTTTCCTTAAATCTTATGTCTATAAAATTTAAGAATACTACAGTGAACAAGAAAGCAGGCAGGTAAAACCAAATGTATTTGAATACACTACAGAATCGCTTAATAAAATATGAGAATCATACAGTAAATATTTCATTTGCAAAATGTCAATCAATTGTCTCGGAATTTATTGTTTCTTCGTCTCCACGTCAATTATTTTCTGTTCGCATTCTCTTCTCTTCGATTTTCTTAACCTCTCAATTGGTGATACATACTACTTATATCTCTCGAAATCAGTAGCACACACTACAATACAGAGAATTGTAGATGAGGCATAATAGCCAATAAACTATAGTGAAATTGTATTTATCATTATCACATTATTTGTCAGTGTTCGGAGAAATTATAGAATAATTTTTAGTCACTAGCAATAAATTTTTTTTACAAACTGAATAGTTTTATTGCCTGTTCCACAATACTCGCTTAACTGAAACAATCGAGAATGGATGCATTACATTGATAACGTAGTCTACCAACCACGTTCATAGAATAATGACCTAAGTAAGTTAATCAATAGCATGATTCAAATTATTGGTATAAGTTTAAATTTTCTTTCATTCGTCTGGAATCATAAAAGCCCTGCTTACTGATCCAATAAAATGTGGAGTTTCAGTAAGTTTCGTAATTTCTTATGCAAAGATTATGAAATGTATTAGATCTATAGTAGCTGACTATAACTGCATCATTGCAAATGTGGTCATAGACTGTATTTAAATTATTTTCTAATTGACATTACAAACCTTATGTTCTAAGAAAATACAATTTAGTATGAATGGTGCTAATACAGCAAAATTGATTAATAGTAGCTTTATAAAAAATGAAGTTGACAAATGACTTTATCCATCCATCTAGATCAATAGATTAATTAAAAAAATAATGTATACATCTTGATTTACAGAAAGGTCAGCCATAACACAACTTTAGATATTTATCTTTCGTAATTTCTCCGTCTTCTATTATGAATATTATTGATGATTTCTTGTATTCTTATATTTTATAACCATTGATAGTGAAGTGTTTTTATAAAACGTTTACGACAATTTTGAGTTAAATTTTTCCAAACAAAGACGAATAGATAATAAACTAAATAATCACGTATTTTTATTCGTTAATTCTAATTTTCCCATACTAGGATCAAACGACCATCCAGTGCTTTCAGGTTTTCCATGGTGGTCTCGCTTTAATTGACTCATGAGTTCAACTACTGAATTTAAAAAATGAAGTTGACAAAATGATTAACTTATGCTAATTAAAATTCACAAGAATTGTTATCAGGTCTGAATTCTTTTCGAGTAAATGGGAACAAGAAACTCAGAAGTTTTTTAACAAAAATTAGTAAGGCTTTATAAAATCTTCATTATTGCAAATACGTGATGATAATTTTAAAAAAAGATTCACTTATGAACATACCTTACAAAAACGGCATTCTGTACCTAGTGATACTCCTGTCACTTGAGAGGTGAAAGGGTTTGCGCATTCGTCGCAAACGTAACAACCAATATGAGCGTCTAGAAAATTATAATGTAATGTGAAGCAGGAACACTATTTTCTGAGTTAGTGTAAAATATTTAGGCGATTTACATAAGTTACTTATGAGTAGGCTAGTACAAAATGTCCAAAGTAATAGATCGAAAAATGATCAGGTTAAAGGTGAAGTGCATCGTTTAAACCGTGTGAATTTAGGATTGTCAAACAAAATAGAATAAAATTGTCAATGTTGATGTGACTCGTATAGAATGTTAATTTGAACCAGCTTATATGTTAAGTGAAAATTTTAGATCTATAATCAGAAATATAGTCTTCCATTAAACATTTGATCGAATTGTAATTGCGCTATTATTTCTCCCACCCTATCTGAGCCATATTTGTTCTGATCATGGATTTTTACTTTTAACCTAATGTACAAGCTGATTCAAATTGACATTTTGTATGAGGCACATCAACATTAACAATTTTATTTTATTTTGTTTGACAATCCTAAATTAACATGCTTTAACTTTAAACGCTGTACATTGCCCTTAACCTGGTCATTTTTCGGATTATTAATTTGGATATATATATAGAACTTGAAGAGAATTTATCAAAAAGATTATTTTTTGTTCAAGTATCAGTATTTTGATATGATAGGAATCTTTCAACAATTAATACAAAATAAGTAAATCATAGGGAGAAACAATTCAAATTTGAGTGATTATTTTATTAATTAATTTTTCCATGAAGTACTTATAAGATAAATTTGACTGTACATATCAGCAGTGCAGACTAATAATTACTCGAGAAATGCCTTCCAAAAGATTTACGCATGAATCTGTACAATCATACTAAACTTGCTTTATAATTATATTCTAGGAAACTGCGATGTTGTTTTCTTCTTAAGTAGTGAACTTACATACGAGTATTTCCTGTTTAAATTTAACATGATAATGTAATGTAAGCATACCGAAATTAATGCATCACCATAACTAGTTTTATAAAAACCATTCTTAGTATCTCAATTCCTTGTCATAGAATAGATAGCTAAGCAGAAGTCCCAGTCTTTTGTAACAGGGACGTACAAACATTGAGTTAGTCCATTTGATTTACAAAAAACCTATACGACTTATTATCACCTACAATAACAAACAAATAATACATTCATTCCTAATGTATTTTTTGCATTTATCCATAGTAAAATACGTTTTTAGACGTAATTAATGATCCACAGAATATTAAAACAACTGTGGTTTGTTATTCATATCGGCCTATAAATTAATAAATAATTTTTCATATCTCCCTTTATAGTACTTAAACATATCATCTAATAATACTGATAATTTTAAAGATGATATTGTGTTAAAATAGATATAAATTTCAACACTTTCTATAATGATTTCATTTTGAATTACAGTAAGATGTATTAATCATATTATCATTAATTAAAATTGAATTTTAAACGTGGTTACAATAAAAGATAACTTCCTTCTCAATATGTAATATATTGAGCGAATAAAAAGAAATCAAATAATTTCAATTTATTAAATATTTAAACAAAAAAATTGATTTTTTTCATTTGATCGACTTATTATTTACACATTTGTTCTTCTTTTTAGTTATTTAAATCAATTCAAAAGGAAATTAATTAAGAGAAAAATAAAAACGAGAAAAATTTTTTTCTTTTTCATATCGACTAATAATTTCAATGATATTTGAAATTTATTAAGAAAAGAAAATCTTTTCAAATGAATAAACTTTCTTTTTCTTTTCTGTTTCTTTTTTTTAAAAAGCCAAAACTTCATTTATCAGTAAGATATTTCTTTTTTTTTAACCCAAACGTTTTGCTTATTCTTCTTCATGATATTTTTTGAACTTTGGGTGATTATTAAAAATTAAAAATGAGATAATTTATTTAAATAGAAAGTTTTTAAAAAAAGTGAAATAATTAGACAGTAAGGTGCAAATGAATAATAAATGGTCATATGTTACGTCACAATTTGATAAACAAAAATTGATTAACACTTATAGACATATATGTGATTAGTTACAAATCATTGATCAATTAATGTAAATTTTTTATTTTTATTAAAAGTCAATCATAACCTGAATAACTCAGTAATTATGTCTCAGATTGTGGAACTGAATTATAAGAGTTTCAGGTCACTGTGGAATATCGATTCCCTCAAAACTGCGGGTATGCCTTGCTAGCATGGAATCTAAGTCTAAGGTTTCATGTCGATCAGATTTAACCACTTAATAATGCACAAAAAATAAGCACCGAGGAATTTCATTTGTTTGAATTTGGGTCACTGTGTTTCTATATAGTATTGAAATGTTTAGTTTAACAAAACATCTAGCAAGATAAACACAACTGTAGTATATTGGATAAACAAGTTATTGGCTGAATAGTTTATAACAAACGTCTTTTAAGGAATATAAAGAACACAACTTTTATGGTAGATAGATAAATTATGTTAGAAACATTTTAAAGTTTACTTGTTAACCTAAAACAGTATATACCATCTGTGATCAACATCTAACAACGGCTTCAATAGTATTTAATAATTCTTAACATGAGAAAAACTCCCAAATTATTCAGGTCATTGTAATCTATTTTTATCCATTGGGTTTGTGCTTCAGTCAGTCTAAGATTAGATCAAATGTGTAGAGTACAAAATATTTCTTTTGGTAATTGCGCAGGTAGTGAATGGGAAAAAGATATGTTAGATATTTTTCAGTTTACTAAATAAGATTTACTGTTAAGATACGCTTTTCGAAATTTCATAAGAGTTTCTGGGGTCATTTAGTCATTTCTATCTTATAATAAAACTGTCGAAAACCATCAGATTTGGTTATCGTAATCAAATATGATTACTAAGACGGAATTT